ATAAATTGATTAATGAATATATATGTCTGTATTAATGAACATACAAATTCCATTTAACATTTTTATGTAACTTGTAGAATTTTTCTGATGATAAATCTGTTATATAAAAATGCATATTTAATTACGTTTAAAACAGTTTATCCTCAACACTATAATATCAATTTTGGTTGATTTGAAATAACGTTCTAGTATAATTACTGAAGCTCATACTTTATATAACGCCATTAAAATGTAACGTGACATTGTCTTCAAAGTTTATTTTAAAAATCATTGAAAATTAGTATTGAAATTGTATTGTTGATGCATTTCTATCAATGTATCATCACATTTAGTATGATTATGTACAATGTACATGTCAAAATAAAATAATGTTCTGTTCTGTATTGTATATCCGAAGACTTAGGATTGCTTTCTTCAGATTCGTTTTACGGCGAACGTATGGCATACATACATACATACATACATACATACATACATACATACATACATAGCGCAAAAAAAATTTAAAACAAATTATAAACAGTTTAAAAACAATTATTTGTAAGTGCAATGTAATCTATGCAGGAAAAGCTAATAACAGGTGGTGCCAAAATGCTGTGTATATCCTTAACGATTACACAACGATTTCGTTAATGAATTTTACTAACAACTGATTAGCGATAACATAACGATGCTTTCTGGTTATGCAACAAAAACAATCGTTAAAATCACTTACGTGTTCGTTACGCGATCGCTAACGCTTTCGTTAGCGTGATTTTAATGAAAGCTTCTGGTTACTCACCCCAGGTTGACACGCGTGATAAAGAATACAATTTTCAGTAACAGCATAATTTCAACAACACAATAAGCAAAATATCTGTGCATCAAAAATTAAATATCTATGACGATCAATTCTCGAATATGTGTCCCAAAACTTACAAAAAGCCAGTTTTTTAAAATGTAACGTACGTGAACAAACACATGTAGATTATATCTTTTTTTAATGTTTAGTTGAAATTCTATTATGTTTAAATGGCAAACAACACGAACTATCTTAATTCTATTTGTTGGAGTTTATATCACTACATTAAGATATAAAGATTGGATTGCCAGGTTGTATGACTAAATAGTAATGGTTTATATAAAATAAGATCCAAGTTGTTAGGGTACGCACCCATTTAAAGACGGCCAAAGTACCTTACAAAAATCTTTATAACGACTTTGTAGTGCTGTGCAAATACTTTATGTTATATAAAACAAAAAAAATAATTTATAAAATACTTGAATCAGTTGCGTTTACGAATGATATAAACATCAATGTAATCCAATGAAAATCAATGTTTCCAACGCGCAGTATTGTAAAATCAATGATAAAAATATTTAGATATGATTACTGTGAGCGGTTTAAAGAGGACGTTGTAACGTTAGTTTAATATATTTTAATGTTAGGGAGGTAAAGAGGAAATGACCAAAAGCGGAGTTATCTACTAATCATCGGAGGATTAAATAAAACAATTAATGTCAGAATAGCATATATGCCCCTCCCTTTACCTTAAGCAGGAGCAGTAGTCCAGTGGTAGGACGCGCGCTTAGGGATCGAGAGGTCCTGAGTTCGAGAACCCCACCAGTGGCACTGCTAATTTCCTTGAGCATGAAATTTACCTGCAATTGCTTCACTACACCCAGGTGTAAATGGGTACCTGCGAGGGTGGTATAATTCCGTTGCGCCAAAGTGTCGGCTGCACTAAGCAGAGTTAAAAAGACTCCCCAGGGAGATTGATAGGTAGATACCAGTAGCCCGATGACCAGGGGTAATAGCTGTAAAGTCGGTGAACGTGCGTAAGCATGAAACTTAGCCTATAAAATGCAATTAATTTACTTTAAAATTACTTTACCTTTAACTGATAGTAATGATAAGTAATGATAAGTAATCAATATGAATGCCACAGAGAAATTGATAATGCTATGGTATGGAAAAAATACATAATTTAATTTCAAAAATAGTAGGTTTGAAATAATTTTAAAAAAGTCATTTCTAGTGCAATATGACACAAAATTATTGTTTAACACACCTGCATATTATTATTTTCATTTAGTTCTAAATTTTAAGTTTGTTTTATCATGCTTAACAAAACTGTTAAAAATCTGGAAACAAAGTGATCCCTCGGAAGCATTAATCACAACAAAATAACAAGAGAATTGCAGATTCGGTTTGAGTCTGTCATAAACAAAAGATAATAAAGTTTCCTTTTAAAAGGAAAGGCTTGCTCAGTTGTGCCATCATCCCAACCCTTTAAAATTGTTTTTTTTTTTAATTCATTATCACATTTTTTCTGTATTACGGTATTTGCACAGGGGGCCCACACACACGGTGCATATCCATATCGGTACCCTCTTTGCGAAATCTGCTCAAACGGTACCCTCATTGCACATGCAGCCGCCTCCGTGGTCGAGGGGTTAGAGTCGATGACTTCTAATCCAGTTACCTCTCTGGCGTGGGTTCGATCCCCGGGAGATGCTTTGGTAGTTTAGCGCGGAGGAAGGTAGTCTAGTACTGGTGTAACTCTCCAGGAACGATGGTTAGGAAACTACCCGCCTATATGACTGAAATACTGTTGGAAAAAGGCGTAAAATGGAACAAACAAACAAACTGTGCACATGCACACTCATTTCCTCTTTGCGAAATCAGGTCATTCTCTGCTAAAAATAAACCAGCGATGGATAACAATCCAGTGAAATTCCATTGTAATAAGGAAAGGAGTGTGCATGTGCACAGAGGGTACCGTTTGAGCAGATGTCGCAATTGTCACGATTGCAATCGGAACTGCCTCGGCTATTATCATTAATCCGAAGAGTGACGGAAAGGGCCGAAAAGTTGCGATTGACATGATTGCAGCGGAAACATAGATTGGTTACTCGTTCAATCATGCACTTACAAATGTAAGCAGGAAACCACCTAACCGGAACAACTTTTCCAAAACAAATGGCTTGCAGCTGTTGTGTATTTAGTGAAAAAAATGTTCATTACCATTTAAGTTTATCTTTAAAAATGGTTCCCTAACCAAACCAAATAAACTCCATTAATAACGATAATAAGGATACTTGAGCGATAAATTTTCAATATTCACATGTCATAACTACCATTGTATCATAGTTTGGAGACGTTTCTGTTGAAAGTGTGTCAGAGTTAAACTGTATACCGATAAATGCACAGTGTGCTAACGGAAGTACTGTAACGTGCACACACAGTTACGGCACTGTTTGTTGATGATATAAATAGAGCATGCTCTTTGATTGGCTACATTATTTCCGAGGTTTACTTATTAAAAGGATAATGATAGAAGGACATATTCAGATGCTCTAACATTGGTTCATTTTTTTTTTCATGTTGCGGCGACAGGGAAACTGTTTTCATTTTTGAATATGATACTATAGTAATATCCGTCATATTTTCTGGTTCCCGAGGGACGGATATTCCGATCCGAACAGCAAACATGTCAGTTTATTTTCTAGAATATTCTACCATATTCCATCTTTTTTTAAATTTCTTTACCTTGATTAAACAATTTTCCTTGGTAATCTATGTCATATAACATCGTAACTATTTTCTTACAACGGCGTATGAAATAACTTCATTCATAACGACGAAAATACGTCATTCTAAGCATGCCATTGTTTCACCCGACTAATCAGGCATCCCCCATGCCATATGAAACTTCCAGCATGGGTAAAACTATACCAAACATCAGTCTGATATGCAAGAAAAGAGACATTACATCAAAACACTTGGCAATCTGTTTTTACTCGGGACTCGGGAGCTATGCCCCTTCGTATAAATCAGATGCTCTTTCTATTACTATTTTTTCATATTTATTTCAGTATCATTTCTAAATCGTATTATATCTCATATACATACACAAAATTCAAGTAGATATATTTCATAATTTATTAGTTATTTTTATATACTGACAATAATTTGTATTTTATTTTTTGTTCCTGTTATACAGTTTTACGCCCATGATCACTGTGACCTTAACCTTTATGCACATGTGCCCGAAATGAAAGAGCTTCTCTTATTAAGGATGAGTAAGAAGGTTAAATAGGTCAGTTTGTTTTCTATGAATTGATTGGAAACTGCTTAAAAATAGGGGTCCCTACTCAAAAAGCTACTGAATAAGGGTGGTAGTCCTTTGAACTTTGAATGCTATGGGTCAAAAAGTTTTCTAGTTATTGAGCTGAAACGGTTTTCACATTCAAAGACATCACTGTTTTCTAGAATAAGGGTGATCATTATTTCAAACTTAAAGGATGTGGGTCAAATGGCTCTTTACATAAAAGGGAAAACGTTTCACTTTCAACCTAATTGTGACATTGACCTTTACGCACAATAAAAGATGTCTCCTACTCAATGAGGCTGATCATCCTTTGAAAATTGAATGCTGTAGGTCAAATGGTTTAATAAGTACTTGGCGGAAAAGGTTTTCACATTTTATGATATTGTGACCAAGACTTTTACACATGAGCACCTAAAAATCATAGAGGCCTTTTACTCAATAGAGGTAATTATCAGGCTTTGGGTAAATGGTTATATAGCGGAAACCGTTTCACTGTTACCCCGACCTTCAAAAATCGGCGCCAAAATGTAATAACGGTCTTTTATACAACAACTGTGATCATTCTATAAAATTTAAAGCATGGTTCTCTCTCTCTATTCATTGATCGGAAAAGTTTGTGTATACGATTTAAATCTGACACATTTTCAACAGAAAGGTCCCAAAACTATGATACACTTTATCATTATCAACTTCCTAAAGTATTACATTTTCATCACAAATATCATCATATCTTATTAAGAGTAGTGTTACTACATTGGTCGACACACAATGATTGGTGAAAAACCTTTATAAACAACAGAAACGAATGCATTACAAACTTACTCTAATCAAATTGTGTAAATGAGGTAAATCCGGGGTTATTTTATTTGTAGATCACACATTGTATTGATTATTTTTTTCTTTCAGATCGAAGATTTGATTCTTACCTATTCTTGCCGAATCCTGATACACGATTTCCTGTTTCCCTCGATTGAAGAACAAATACGAAGCCAAGTCTTTCATTTGCTTGAATTCACATTGAAAAGTGCAATACTGCAAGGATTTATGATTGGTTAAAAACCGTAAACACAGCTAATCACTTCATAAGTTTAGTAAACAGAATGGTGAAACTTTTCACGATACGACGGTTACGGAAATACACGATTTTTGCAACTTTTACATTTTTCGTGTTAACAATATTTACACATTTATTTGTCCATTTTGAGCAAAGTGACACGGAATATTTCAATCTGGATAATTATGCTTTTTTTGAAGATGCTAAGGATTTAAAGTATCCTGTTAAGGTACAGCCTTATTTATTTCGACTTATAAATGCTTCTAATCCAAGTGTTCCTTTAACTGTAAGTGCACCATATCTTATTGAGAACCCTAATCTCTGCCGTTCTGTGAAGCATCTAACGGTGCTTGTTGTAGTTAATTCAGCGACAGACCATTTTGAACAGAGACAGAGTATAAGAACCACCTGGGCAAACGATACGTATTACTCGTATTTAGCAACAGTCAGAGTTGTTTTTCTTGTCGGAAGACCTGTGAGTCACGTTGTCCAATCTGCGCTTGAAATGGAGTTTGAAAAGTATAAAGATATTGTACAAGGAGATTTTATAGATTCCTACAACAATCTTACACATAAAGGTGTGATGGGTTTTAAATGGATCACAGAAAGATGTCGCAATGCGGAAATGATTCTGAAAGTAGATGACGATATCGTAGTTAATATGTTCCTATATATCTATAAATTAAAACATTCTAAAGCGCTGCAAAAGGCAAACGTATATTGTGAATACAAATCTGATATTGTAGAAAGAGATGTTACATCTAAATGGTATGTTGATGAAAATCATTTCAAAGGAGTTAAAAGATATCTTGAATTTTGCAAAGGAAAATTTGTGAGTATGACGAATGATATAATGCCATCTTTATATCTCGCCGCCTCGAGGTCCCCTTTTTTCCATCTCGATGACGTTTTGTTGTTTGGATATGTCCTGCATAAGATTCCAGGATTGAAATATCAAACGTTCAGTGACGGAGATTGGCAAGGAAAAACTAATGCAGTAAAACACTGTTTGGATATCAAACGAGAAAAATGTACCTATATTGCTATGCAGGCAAATTATAAGGAAGACGTATCAATCATTTGGTCAAAAGTGGTCAGATACTTTAGAAAACACTTAGATTAGTTTAATTAGAAGTTAATACTTGGTTGCAACTCGCATTATGCGATAATTGCCCAAAGATGTACATTTTAATAGTATCAATCAATTGTTAGACGAAAAATATTTAGTTTCTAATCGTTTCATACAATTAAACAAAATTTCTACACCAAAACAAATAGACCACAAGAATACAGCTATTCTATTTAAAGAAAGGAAATCACGGTTTCCAACGATTTTTATCAGGCAAACAATAATGTCGGCGCTCATGACTATTTAATAAAAAGTAAAATGCTAACTGCATCAAACTTACACTCGAACCATCTATCTATGTGGTGTTTTTTTTTTTTTTTTTTTTTTTTTCTTTTCCTTATTTTTTGTTGTTGGTGGTTTTTTTCTCACGCAAAATCAATGAATTGTCTGACTTTACAGATAACGATGAGATGTTGCTTGATATGTACATAAATATTAAAGAAAAATCACACGAAAAATTGGCACGTCTCAGTCGGGACTTGAACCACGGGTCTCTGGAACGCCGGTCCAACTTATGCTTACCAATGCATCACAGTGGCAATTGGGTTTACGCCTTATATATTTAAGTTATTTTTACCTTATTGTGACGTCATTTAATCGACTGGAAAGTAAGACCATAATACCGATCCATTTTTTAAGGTGAAACATACTTTATGTTTACTGAAATAAACAAACAGATAATTACAATTTATTATTGAAATAATACATTAATTGACCAACCATTGATAAATAATAATTTGTAAATTAAAAACGTGTTACATGTCATTTTGATCTAACATCGATAGAATATGCTGTATGTATGTTTGTACGTACGTACGTACGTTTGTGTTGTTTTTTTGTTTTGTTTTTTTTTTCTCTAGGAAAATCAATGACTTGTATGACTACAGATAATGATGATTTTGGCAAATGCGTTTTTGTATTCAGATGTTTTATATGCTTTTGATATGCTGTACCATAGCGGCCATTGCGTTTTTTCCTTACATATTTAAGTAACTTTTCACTTTTTTCGACTTCATGTAATCGACTGAAAAGTGAAACCGGGTTTAAAGTGAAACACTCCAGTGTTGTTATATTATCGCGCTCATATTATCTAGTCCTTCGGGATCATTGATGCCAGCACTATTAAGTGTTGGTGAATTGAGTACCACTCAAGCCGGTGCTAGGGGGCGTGAGGGATGTTGCACTTATTCATTATCCCTCATGTACAGACTCAATCAAACCGAGTCTGCAATTCTTATGTAATTTTGTTGTGATCAATGCTTCCAAGGAATCAATTTGTTTCCAGAATTTTAAAGTGAAATATACTTTAAGTTTACTGAAATAAACAAACATTTATATGAAATTTATTTTTGAAATAACGCTCTTATTAACCGCCCGTTGACAAGTAAAAAACGGATAAAAAGCTTGTGACATATCATTTTGATCTAACATCGGTAAAAGACCAATCAATTATTAAACAAAAAATATTCAATTTTTACTAATTTCCTGCAATATAACAAAATTTAAACCACAATAATACAATTATCACAAAAAAGTCAAAATCACGATTTCCAACGATTTTATAACGGGTCATGGTTTTTTTAATAAACAATATTAAATAAATTCTGACTGCTTCAAACTCGGCCTATATATGTATGTATGTATGTATGTATGTATGTATGTATGTATGTACGTACGTACGTACGTACGTACGTACGTATGTATGTATGTATGTGTTTTGTTGTTGTTCTTTATAATTTTTTCTTACGCAAAATCAATGACTTATCTGACATTACAGATAATGATGATTTTGGCAAATGCCTGTTTGTATTCAAATGCTTCGATATGTTTGCTTGAAATGTTTATAAATGTTACACAAAAAAAAAACACATGAAAAATTGGCACGCTGCAGCCGGGACTCGAATCATGGGTCCCTGGATGCCGATCCAGTATGCGAACCACTACACCACAGCGGTCATTACGTATCTAGATTATTTTTGAATTATACTATCATCATATAATCAACTGGAAAGTGAGATCGGGTTAACGATCTAATGTTCAAGGTGAAATGTACTTTACGTTTACTGAAATTTTTGAAATAATACTCTTATTGAACACCAGTTGCCTTATCTATGTATTTATGTGTGTTTTATTTTTTCTAAAGCAAAATCAATGACTTTTCTGACTGTACAGATAATGATGATTTTTGCAAATGCCTTTCTGTATTCAGACGTTTTGATATGTTTTACCATAGCGACCATTGCGTATGTTTCTTATAAATAACTTATTTTGGCTTCATTTGATCGACTAGAAAGTGAAAACGGGTCTAAGGTGAACTATACTTTAGGTTTACTAAATTAACAAACATTTATGAAAAATTTATTATTATTTAAATAATTTAAATAATACTGTATAATACTGTATAATAGTGACATTAGGGCATACAGTGAGTGAACATGTGAATATATAAATAAGTTTTCATTTTGCAATAATTCCTTTTGATTTGATAATTTACTTCGCAAAAACAATAAATAAGGCACGGATCCTTAGGAATTTTCTGTAAATATAATTAGAATTTACTTGTATCGTTTAGTTTATAAAAAGAGTAGGGCAGTCTTTTTATATTTAAGGTAGAGTTATAATTTTATCCTTAACATTTTCAAATATCACCTGTTGGTCAAACACCATTTTAACAGTCAGTCTTTTGAAATATAAAATCAATTCGACTCAACTTGACTATGAAAATATGAGCATAATGTCACTTTAACCGCCCGTTCGCAAAATAAAAACAATGAATAGAAAGCTCGTTACATGTCATTTTGATCTAACATCGGTAATACATCAATCAATATTTAGACGAAAAATATTCAATTTGTATTCATTTCCTGTAATTTAACAAATTTTCTTCACCAAACCAAATAGACCACAAGAATACAATTATTTCAAAAAATCAAAATCACGAATTCCAACGATTTTATTACGGGTCATGGTTTTTTAATAAACAATTTTAAATCAATTTTGACTGCTTTAAACAAGGCCTATCTATGAAAGTATGTGTTTTGTTGTTGTTGTTTGTTTTTTCACGCAAAATCAATGACTTATCTGACTTTACAGGTGAGGATTTTATTAAATGCCTTTCTGTATTCAGATGTTTTGATATGTTTGCTTGAAATATATATAATATTACAGAAAAAACACACGAAAAATTGGTACGCCTTAGTCGCGACTTGAACCATGAGACTCTGGATTGCCAATTCAGTATGCAAACCACTACACCACAGCGGTCATTACGTATTTTATTTAATTTTGATTTATTGTCTCATCATATAGTCGACTTGACACTGGGAAGAGAGATCGGGTTAACGATCTAATGTTGAAGGTGAAGTATACTTTAAGTGTACTGAAATAAACAAGCATATAGTTGCAATTTATTATTGGAATAATACTCCAATTGACCACCAGTTGACTTATCTATGTATTTATGTGTTTTATTTTTTCTAACGCAATATAAATGACTTGTCTGACTTTACAGATAATGATGATTTTGACAAATGCACTTTGTATTCAGATGTTGATATGATTGCTTGAAATATACATAAATATAACAGTAAAATCACACGAAAAATGGCACACCTGAGTTGGGACTTGCATCACCGGTCTCTGAATTGCCGATATAGTATGCAAACCACTACACCATAGCGCGTCATCGCATTTCTCCTTAGATATTTAAGGTATTTAGAAAACTTATTTTGCCGTTATATAATCAACTAGGAAGTGAGACTGAATTAACGATCTACTGTTCAATGTGAACTATACTTTAAGTTATCTGGAATAAACAAACATGTTTTTTTACAATTTATTTTTGAAATAATACTGAAATCGACTGCCAGTTTGACAAATAAAAATTTGTGAGTTAAAAGCATTTTATCTAACATTGTTAAAATATCAATCAATATTTAGACGGAAAATATTTGGTTTGCACTCTATCGTTTGCTGTAATTTATCAGAATTTGTATACCAAAGCAAATATATCACAATTATACAAATATTACCAAAAAATCATAATCAAATTTATCAACGATTATTTAACTGATAAACAAAACATGTCAGCGCTCATGATTTTTTATGTGTGATTTGAATAAATGCTGACTGCTTCAAAATTACACTCGAACTATGTACGCAAGCTTTGTTCTTTTTGTTGTTTTTGCTTTGTTTTAATTTTTCTCACGCCCAATAAATGACTTTTCTGACTTCTTAGATAATGATGATTTGGGCAAATGCCTTTCTGTATTCAGATGTTTTGATATGTTTGCTTGATATATTTATGACAGAAAATTATACGTAAAATTCGCACGCCGTAGCCGTCCTTAAATACGTGTCTCTGGATTGCCGGTCCAGTATGCTATCCATTGCACCACAACGGCCATTGTTTACTCATTGTGACGTTATATAATTGGCTGGAAAGTAAGACCGTACTAACGATCTACTGTTTAAGGTGGTGTTTACGGAAATCAACAAACATGTAATTACAATATGTATTATTGAAATAATACTCTAATTGACCACCCGTTGACAAATCAAATTCAAATTGTTTTGATAAAAAAGCGTGTTACGTGTCATTTTGTTGTAACATCGAATAATATCAATCAATATTTAGACGAAAAATATTCAGTTTGAACACGTCTCATGTAATTTTGCAAATTTTCTACACCAAACCAAATAGACCACAAGAATACAATTAGTACAAAAAAATCAAAATCAAGATTTCCAACGATTTTATAATGTGTCGGTGCTCATGGTTTTTAATAATAAATCAATGCTGACTGCTCGGACTATCTTTTTTTTCACGCAAAATCAATGACTTGTCTGACTTTACTGATAACGATGATTTTGGCAAAGATATGCTGGCTTGAAATATATATAAACATAACAAAAATCACACGAAAAAATGGAACGCAGCAGCCTTGTCTCTGGATTCCCGGTTCAGTATGCTAAGCACTATATCACAGTGGCCGTGGCGTTTTCTCCTTATTATTTTTAATTTATTTTTAACTTTATTGCGACGTCATATAATCGACTGTTAAGTGTGACCGACTTTGTCTCGCCCTAGACAGCATGTGTTTAGCCTTAAGTTAAAAAAGTATGAAAATATACATTAAATTATGAAGATGTTTTGTCAAGTAAAAATTTTAACCACTGAAGGTTTATACGTGTTTATTTACCATACGTATTATGGCATTGCGTAGTCCGCCCGTCTGCCTGTCTGTCTGTCCTTCAGTTTGTCCGTAGACAATTGGTTTCCGCGGCATAACTTTTGAAGGATTTCAGTGATTTTGTTTAAATTTGGCATGCTAATATATTTTT